ATAATAATAATAATAATAATAATAATAATAATAATAATAATAATAATGACTTTAGTGGCAACAAAGTGGGTTTAGCTGTGAGAATCGATTCAATTTTAGCTGTTCATAAATTGGTATATGTCAAATTATATAATTACACAAAAACATATGTCCATTTTTTTTAAATATTCTTACATACATAATGGAGTGGATTATGTTGTTTTGGTGAATTATTCTTTCTCTTTTTGTTGGTATTGGACTTTGGTGAATGCCTTTAATATGCTTGCAGTATTTGCTTAAGTAGTAAACACATGAAGGAATGTAAGAATGTCTTGATTTAGACTCAAGACCACCTCTTTAACTTGGAACCACTCATTTGCACTGTCTTGCTTTTTAGGAAATATGTTTTCCCTTAAAAGTGTTTTGCTTGTTTGTTTGTTTCTTGTTTTCTGGCTGCTGTGCTATTATCTCATGAAGATTGACCCCATATGATCTAATTTGTTATGATCTAATATTAATAATAATAAGAAGAATAGTTATTATTATTTGGTATTCATATTTTGCTGTTTTTATCCAGGATTAAAACCTACACACTCAGTGCACACAAATTATCAAATATGATAGTTATATAATAATTGTTTAACATCAGAAAAGTTTGATCTTGTTGACATGTAAAGCAGTTTTAGCCTTTACTATGAGGGGGCTCTTCTTGCTACAGATAGGGGTATTTTTTTGTCAAAATATTTATAAATATGTATGCGTGTGCTCGTATGTGTGTGTGTGCATATGTGTGTGTGTGTGTGTGAGAGAGTGAGGGAGAGAGAAGGAGAGGGAGAGAGACGCTTGAGTTGTCTCTGTCCATTGTTATGAAACAATAATTAGCAGTTTAAATTGTTGCCGTTGCAGGAAAACAAAGTAAATCTTGAAACACAATCGTGAGTTTTTAAAGGGCAAACCTCTGAGGGTTAAGGTAAATGTCCATATGTTTCTGCTGTACTTTGTAAAGTGCACCATTGTATTTCTATTCGTAAAAACGACATTTTTACACATTTTCTCAGCTCTTTTTACTCACATTCATCCATTTCTCTAAATCGAATTTTGCAATGACCTTGTACAGCACTTGGTGTCAGTATAACAACGATAATATTTCTAAGTGTGTCTGAAAAATAAAACATCCATCACTTCACTGAGCACAGAAACGGAAGCTTCGCTGCGGTGCGGACGTTCTTCACATTTAAACCAAAAAACGGATATTTTGTTCTTTGAATAGTTGCTTTGTAACACTGAATGTAAGAGAGGGAGAAAGCCTTTGCATAAAGGAACAACGTTTTGCAAGTGGATTTACAGGATTGTTTTTTTTTTTTTTTTATTTATTTTGTTTCCCGTCATGGAACAAAGGGAACACTCCCGCACAAAATGGATCGTATGCGTGATTGCTTTGATTTCCTTTTGGAGTCCCGCTAACGGACAGTTTAGATATTCTGTGAACGAGGAAGTTCAGGAAGGAACAGTTGTTGGGAATATCGCAAAGGATTTAGGTCTTGATAAGACGACGCTCAAAGAGAGGGGGGTGCGTATTGTCTACGGCTCCACGGAGCCTCCTTTCACCGTGAATCAGGATGACGGCGTCTTGTTTGTGAACCGAAACATCGACCGAGAGCAAATCTGCGACCGCAGCAAGGTTTGTGTTGTGGATTTAAAAACGGTGCTGCAGAACCCGCTGGAGATCCATCACGTCTCGGTGGAGATTCTGGACGTGAATGACCATGCGCCGAGCTTCCCCGAGAATAAAATCATGTTAGAGATTTCTGAATCTGCATTACAAGGAGCCAAATTCCAGCTAAAAGCAGCTCGTGATGCTGACAGTGGGTTATTATCCGTCCAGCAGTATAAACTAAGTAATAACGATCATTTCAGATTAGAAGTGAAGGATCGCGGTGAGGACCGTAAAACACCAAGTTTAGTTCTTGAAAAGCCACTTGACAGGGAATCAGTGAAAAGCCACGTGCTGCTACTGACAGCTTTAGATGGAGGGAGACCTCCAAAGTCTGGAAACATGACCATAATAGTTAATGTTTCTGATGTTAATGACAACCCGCCCGTTTTCAGCCAGGAGTCATATTCTGTGTCTTTAAAGGAGAACTCCCCTGTAGGTACAACTGTCATCCAGATTAATGCAACAGATCCAGATGAAGGTTCAAATGGAGATGTTTTTTATTCATTTGGCAAGGATGTGGAGCCACGTGCTCGTGCTCTTTTTAGTTTAAATCCAGAGACTGGAGTCATTGTTGTGGCGGGTAATATAGATTTTGAAGAAACTACAAAATTAGAAATTGATGTTCAGGCATCTGATAAAGGTGCAGCTACCATGACAACGGACAAAACCATATTCATCACTATTATTGACTTAAATGATAATGCTCCAGAGATTGAAGTGACATCTTTTTCACACGCGCTGCCGGAAGATTCCAAGCCAGGGACAACAGTGGCTTTGATTAGTGTAAAAGACTCAGATTCAGGTCTCATGGGAAAGGTTATGTGCTTCATAAACCAAGAAATCCCATTTCTGCTCACTCCATCTTTACAAAATAACATGTATTCTTTAGTAACAAAACATCTGTTAGACAGAGAACATCAGTCTCATTACAGTGTGATAATAGTTGCAAAAGACGCAGGAGATCCAGCCTTATCTTCAGAAAAAAATATAGATATTATTGTATCTGATGTGAATGATAACAGGCCAGTTTTCTCCCAGAGCCCATATACATTTTACATAACTGAGAATAACCAACCAGGGGAGAGGATATTCTCAGTGACAGGTCAGGATCAGGATGACGGCAGTAACGCTCATATTTCATATCTTATTATGAGGGATAAAAATGTAGAGAACAAGCTGTCATCTTTTCTAAACATACACTCTGAAACAGGAGCTATAATCTCCCTGAAGAGCTTTGACTTTGAAAGTCTGAAAACTTTCCAGTTCCAAGTTGTGGCCACAGATTCTGGAGCTCCATCTCTGAGCAGCAACGTGACAGTGAACGTGTTCATTCTGGATCAGAACGACAACGCTCCAGTCATCCTGTATCCAGTCAGCTCCAACGGTTCTGCTGAAGGTGTGGAGGAGATTCCCCGCAACGTGCACACAGGACACTTGGTGACTAAAGTCAGAGCCTATGATGCTGATATAGGATATAACGGCTGGCTGCTGTTCTCCATGCAGGAAGTGAGTGATCACAGTCTGTTTGGTTTGGACCGTTACACAGGACAGATCAGAACCCTCCGCTCATTCACAGAGACAGACGA